GAAAATACTGTACTGTACTTGTATGTATTGTTTACTTGAGAATATAACAGAGAATAAACTGCCCAAATACCCTTAAACAAAGGAAAAGTACGTCCTTTATGAAGGCATAGAGCCTTTACTACATGAAAATGAAAATTAATGAATACACTGTGTACAGTAATTTACCTGATAAGACAGACCTCAGAAAAATACTTTGAGGCATAAAGCTGTCTATAATGAAAATTAATTAACTAAGGATTTTTTTGCCCTGCCAGGCTGTGGCTGAGTTATCCAGAGTGCAGAGTTTTCGAGGCTCTACTGTATCAATGTTTGCAGAAGTGTATCGACCTTAATGGATCATATGTTGAAAAATAAACATCATAACTGAAATCGTTTTTTCATACTATCCTTTTTCCTTGAACTTTTTGAAGCCCCCTCGTACATTTGTACTTTTAAAAAATTGCAATTTTCATTTGCAACAAAAATCAAAAATATCTTTGAGTTTTCATAAATATAACTTTTCACATAAAAGACAATACACAATCACTATAAATTTACATACCAATTGTATGTTGATTCCAAATAAAAGATATTGTTTAAAAGAATGTGAATTGTCAAGTCAACTGTTGTGACAAATTAATAGTAGGGGAGTGAGTATCCAATAAACATATCAACAGATTTAACTAGATATGAAGCAAACAGCAAAAGCAATTTTATTATTGGATATTTTAAGTTTGTGTCAGAGATTTTTTTTCTTCTCTAATTTCAGTGATAGGTTCATTTGAAATATCTTGAATGATTCATTCATGTCCACAAGTGGAGAGGACAAGAGCCTGCATTTTTTTGAGCTGTGTTCCCAGGTTTTATGGCAGAAGGTCTCTGTAAACTTGTACTGTGCTGTTATCTGACTGTATATTTCCAAGGTAAATAAACTTTATCTTTTGTGTTACATCGTGTCTAGTTTCATTCAAGAACCTCTTAATGTGATGTTACATCATCTGGTGTAGTTGACAGAATTCTTTAATGATATAAGTTATGGAAATTTAGATATGGTGTTTATGAAAGTGCAACAAATAGGGTTTTGAATAAGCTTCACGAAAATGTTCGGTGAACTTACGGCTGAGATTGATAAAACTGTCATAGATCTTTTGTGGGGTTGTCTTATCTACAATCATGACAGGCTGGTAGAGTTAGATCCACTGGTAGAGGGGAAGATTGGCCAGAATGAGAACACAACTGAGGACAGTTTTTCATTGATAGCTGATTCTGTTGCTGACAACTGAAGCAAATATATGCTGATGGAGATCTGAGTGAAGATGCTAATGAAGGATGTAGACATTGAAAGTGTCAGAGGTTTCACAGAAGAGTCATCAGCAGGCCAGAAGTCACGATATTGCTTGCCAAAGTTAGAATTGGTGAAGTTTGATGGTAACCCCAGAGGGTGGTTGAAGTTTTGGACTCAGTTTAAAGGGATTTGTGAGAATGAAAGTATCTTAGCAGAGGATAAATTCCAGTATCTGCTCCAGGTCACTAAGAAGAAATCCAAGGCACGTGAGATTGCAGACAGTTTTCTGCCAATGGCACAGAACTATCCCAAGTTGATAGCATATATGAAAGAGCAATTTGGGAGTGATAGTACTTTAATACAAGTTTACGTGCGCGATATTTTGAAACTTGTCAGACAATAAGAGCGAAGTCACTGTGGCTGAATTGTATGATAGACTGGTGACTCGTCTAAGAGTGTTAGAGTCACTGGGAGTAACTTTACAGAAGTAAGCCAACATGTTGTTTTTCATGGTGGAATCATCACTACTGCAGGTGACTCTGTAGAAATGGGAACTAGTTTGAGTCACGAGTAACAGTGAGCCTGAGGTTAGTACCTTGAGCCATTTGATGTCCTTCCTTAACCCATTGTGTACATTTGTTCCACTTCGAATGCTACTTGGAAATCCATAAAAAATTGATTTTTATATTAAATAATTATTTCCACTGAAACGCGAATCTGACATCCAAAAAAATTGCCGGGAAATAATTCCTGCAAAATAAAAACCCTCCAAAAAGTGTTTTTACAAAAAAAGTATTAAAAAAAATAATTTAAAATAAATGCTTTTATTTGAAAAATATAGCTGTACCGATTGTTATTCTTTCATTAGGCATGATATTTCACACATGCAGTCTACATTGTTTACACAGTGGTTGACCTTGAGAACAGCCCAGGTAGTTCTCATGTATACTCATTCCATGGTAGTTCTCTTGGGAATATTGGTTTAAAGCAGGAGGGGAGCTAACTTACCACATCTATTCAAATATAACACAATATTTTCGATTTTTATGCTATTAAATTATGAGGGGACTGAAAAAAAGGTATGGGGAAAAAAATTTTACCAAACAAAAAACCTGCTGATGTCATAAAAAACATCCAATAGCATTTAAAAAAATTTTACTGAAGTCAAATCAGTCAAATAGAAGTTTGGAACAATTTAATTAATTTGATTAAAAAAACAATAGTGCAATTAATTATCTAATTAAAAAATCATCATAAAATATTTTTGCGACCAAAATAATTCATAAAATTTGCAGAGATCATAGATAATGATGTATATATGCTGATCCATACATTTTTGGAAAAGTTATAAGTCAAGACCCTTTTTTGAGGCTCTTAGGCCTATGCCTGAGATAACTCGGGATAAGAACTGCACAGCATCACGTGCAGCCCGAGTTATCTCAGGTTATGGGCGAAAGGGGTTAAGAGGGAGGTCAGAATGCACATGGCTGAATTTGAATTTACTGAGAAGAAGCGATTAACCAGGGTCAAAAGCCCTAAAGCATTACCTGAAACCATACCCACAACCACTGATTTGTTCTACAGCCAAAATTGATGAGGATGTATTTTCTGTAATCACAATCATAAGACCCAAGATTGTCCCGATGTTGACAAGATTAGGTTGAAAGATAGAAGGATGCTGGGTGTGTTTTGAAGACTATGTATCTTCTTCAATTTGCACTCTAGAGAGTGCAAATTGAAGAAGACTCATATGTGTGTGATCTGTGAACAGCCTCATCACCATGCCTTGTGTCCAGGAAAGGAAGAGGACAGCAAGACCACTGATAGGAGTGGGAGAAGGGAGGCTATGTTGACTAATCAGTGCACGAGGAAGGTCTTTCTTCAAACCTTGCTGGTTCATGTTTATGCAGATTTTTTTGCAAATTTCCAACTGCAGATTGCAGTTGGAAATTTATGGGCCTTGATCAACACAAGATCACAATGTTTCTATTTGACTCAACAGGCAGTGGAACTCTTAAAGCTTATCTCTGCATTTATGAGAATGATATAGAAAGCTATGGTCAGGGAAAGGTTGCTAGACAGTTGTGTATTTTGTATGTATGTATTTTTTATAACTTTCTACCCTGTAGGCACTAAGAGGGCCTCTTTTTTCAAGCCCATTATGGGTTCAGCCAGGCCCATAATGGGTGGCTGGGTGGTGAGGGATAGAGCCAACATATCCGGATCAACCACCCTCTGAAAAATTCCTGGGGATTTTCCAACCTGTCCAGATTTGATCCTGGGATCCCCAGAGTAATAGGCTGTCAGAGTAGTAGGCTTTCCTTTGGTCATCCACTGGTGAAAAGATTGGTGCTAAAAGAATACATTAAACGAGGCCACTGTGGTATTCAGGTGCTGATTGCTATCCTGAGAGAGAAGTACTGGATTGTGAAGTGTCATAAGCAAGTCTGCCAAGCTATTTACAGTTGTGCAAAATCAATGCAAAAGGTTTTCTGTAAAAACTTACTAACTAGTACAACCAGTGCTCCCAGTGGAAAGAGTCCCTGATTGTATGGTCTTTGAGGTCACAGAAGTCTACCTAATAAAACATTTATAATACATATTATATGATGTTAAATTAGGAATATCAAATGTGTGTTTCTCTAATTTTTTTTTTAAGTTAGAGAACAATAACAAGAAACAGAAATATAATTAAAAAGAAAAGAAAGATGCAAGCATAATACATCAAAAGTCATTAAAATGAAATGTAGAACTTGATGGACAGGATCATATGTTTACTACACTCAGGTGTTTTTGGAACAATGTTTTATCTTCTCTTGTTCTTATGACATATTAAAATTCTGGCTCCAGCGGCGGCCTTATCCATTGCGAGGCTCTGGACGGAAGATCTTTGTGAGGCCCTTGTCCTTTGTGCAAAGTATGTGAATTGAAATAGGTATTTCTGATGATTGACGAGAAATGCAAAAGTTATAAATAAATAAATTTAGAGTTTTAAAATATTATATTAGAAGATTTATAAAAGTTAACAAACATAAAGACGACAAATTATTAATGATGATAAACTAAGGTACATAAATGCCTTAAAATATATACACAGGGATTTAAAAATGATGTTTGCGGCTTTTCCTAAGACTAAAATCTTTAATTAAAGCAGAATAATCTAACAAATGAGCTACGTCATTTTCAATTGAAAGAATAGCAAGGGCCGAAAGCCGATCTTGTGTCATCGAATTCCTCAAATATGTTTTAATAATTTTTAACCTCGAAAAACTCCTTTCTGCAGACGCAACTGTCACAGGTGTGGTGGCAATAATTCTCAGGACTACTTCCATTGTGGGGTACACTTCAGTTAAATTTTTTTCTATTATATATTTCAGCACCGAGATAATGTCGTCGTTTCCTTCATATACACGGATAAACATATTCAGTTCTTCATACAATTCATGTCCATCAATATCAGATGTTTCTCCTACTGTTAGAGATATTTGCAAGTCGCTGCATTGCTTCAAAAGTTCACAATCACTAATTTCCTTTAATCTTTTTATGTTATACATGAAACCAAATATGCTCTCATGATGTTTAAGTGCCTCAAATCTAGGTTGGCAGCTTGCGCGCACATTGTCGACAATGACATAAAAATAGTTTATTTTGAAAATCTCTTCCGCAGACAATTCAAGAGCTTCATCTTTCCGGTCATAATCAAAATTCGTTCTTTTACGTCTCCTTCTCACGACTTTGAACTTTCTATCAATATCATTTTCCTCGGCTATTTCTCTCGCTGTTACCAAGGATGATTGGAAACCATTTTCCCGATAATTATCAAGCCAATGTGTAAATGCCTCTAGGTGTTGTATAGCCGCATCTAGGTGCATTTTTTCGCTCTGCCAGATTTTACTTATAACATTTATCTTTGTAAGAATGTCATACCATACGACGAGAGCAACTACAAATTCGTAGGTAGTTATTTCCTTTTCTACAGAATGGCATTCACTAACCAACTGACAATCTGTTGTATTTTCTGTTAAATCCTTCAAAGCATCACATATATCGCTTAGTTGGTATTTAACGGCCTTCACCGATTCTACTCTGCATTCCCATCTAGTTTCGGAAAGTGGTTTTAGCGATAAGGATTTTACATGTGCTTTTAAAATAGCCCACCTCTGACTCGAGCCGGCAAACAGAGTGTACAGCCTTTGTAGCAAACCAAAAAAAGATTTTGCTTGAACACAAGAGGATGCTGCATCTCCTAGGATGAGATTCCAGCTGTGACTCCCACAAGGTAAAAAATAAGCAAGTGGATTAATTTCAAGTATACGTTTCTGGACACCACTTTTTTCTCCACGCATATTGGCTCCATTATCATATCCTTGGCCTCTGCAGTTTTGCAATGATATACCCAACTGTTCTAGCTCTGTGATTATGTAATTAGTCAAACTCTCAGCTGTGGTTTTTTCGACGGCTAAGAAGCCAATAAAATGTTCTTCAATGTCAGCTGTATTTGTATTAAAAAATCTTATAATAATTGACAGTTGCTCAACACGAGAAACGTCACGAGTACAATCAAGAATAATCGAGTAATATTTATTCTTTATTATTTTGTCAACAATTTGAGCCTTCACGTGACTTGCCATTAATTGTATAAGCTCATTTTGAATATTTTTTCCGAGATAGTGGTCATTAGTCGTCTTGTCTGTTACTTGTTTTAGGTGAAGTCACAACATTGGATCGAATCGGGCTATTAACTTTACTAAATCTATAAAGTTGCCGCTAGTCTCACTTGAATCTGAGTCAGATATTATTTTCTCTCTATGACATCTGAAGGCCAAATTGTGAGATGCTAAAAAAATTTACAATTGCAAGTAGTCTTTCTAAAATATCTCTCCAATGCTGCCTTTTTTGTTCAATTTGATTCTGGGCTAAAGAGTCAATAGTGGTACAGCTTTTTAATCCGTTTTCTAAATTTAACCATTTCAACATAAAATCTTTGTGCAGTCTGCTAGATTCATGAGACTTTAAATAATCACCCAAGTGTTTCCAATCACACACTCTTTCACTGGATCCAATTCTTGTATTTTCTAGTCCGAACAGTTGACACGGAAAGCAGTAAATGGCATCCTTTGTTTGTGAATAAATCATCCAGCGCCTGTCAAGTTTTTCACCATTAGCTAATGTTTTACTGTAATGATATTCGCTGAATCGTTGTCCGTTATCATTTACGGGAAAAAAATCAACTTTAACCTGGATTGGACCTTTTAGTACAATCTCAGTTCGGTCTACATCAGTAATTGTCAATGGCCACAAACCTGGGTCATTCTGAGGATTCAGATTTTCAATTCTGCCAGTCGTGGATATAGACATAGACTTAGATACGTATTCTTGGCTGGATAGTGTTGACGAAGGCGGCGGTGGTGTAAGAGACAATGATGTTGTTGACTCATTATCCTCGCTATTGTTACTAGGTGGCATCCATGATGATGTTGAAGGAATAATTTCAGCTGGGTTAAGGTTACAGTGCAATAATGTGTCACTTTCAGTCAATGACGGGTTTTTAGAGGTTTCTTGACAATCACTTTTTATATATTTATATAAAGACCCACGTAGTTTTTCTTCTACCTGCTTTCTTTTGATAGCTCGTTTCCTTTTTGAATTATCCGACTCAAATTTTCTACCGGCATCACGATCACGCGAACTCATTTCATAAATCTTGTTTTGCACATAAAACGAATTCAGAAATAATTTGCAAGCAATTTTACACAGTTTTTTTTAACAGTTCACTCCTTACTATAAGTACTGTTAATAATGTAAGATTCACTAAAACTTAATACCATTTAATGTTTATTTACCTACTGAAATATATATACAAACGATTATGTAACGCATACAATGGCTAGCAAAATAAGTGTCAGGTGACAAGAGTTGACGAACGAAATGAAACACGGGGATTCCCCGAGCGTAAATCGTAAACACGATGAATCACGAAAGTAACAAAACCGCGCATTCAGGTGTGTTTTCTAATGCTCGAGGAGTAATATTCAAATAGTAATGAATTTTTCAAATGTGTTTTACAGTCAAATTACATAAAATATTATTAACTGTTAAATTAATTAATTTTGATGATATTAATCTTACTATTTATACGAATGTGAGAGTGGATAAATCTAAATAAGAAATTTTATTTAGGCACTTATTAATATTAATATATACTGTACTATGAATTAAATTTATTTTATTGTTATAACTAATCGCCAAGGATAAAATAAAAAGTTTTAAATATCAACTTTTTTCTACTTGGTTGTTGCGCGAGGCTCCTCCGAGAGCGAGGCCCCGGGCTATTGCCCTGCTCGCCACCCCCTAAGGCGCCACTATCTGGCTCTATATCTTAAAGACAAAAATGACATGCAAACAATTTTTATTCAAGTTTGATTTGTTTTTTAGGGTCTATCAACATACCATAACACAAGAAATTGCTATACTACATGATTTGTTGTCATTTTATCATATTTGTATTATTTTTTAAGATTATCATTTTATAGATCAAATTTTTCAGGCTTATCTGCAAAATAAGTTTTTAGCATAAAAAGCAAACACAAATTATTTACATGTTTTTAATATTTCAAAATAAATTTATATATATTGATGCTAGTTTAGGTGGTTTATTATGTAAATAATTTAATGAAAGTTATATAATAAAATATGCTTATTTCAGTTATCTATAAATCAGTGGTGTGCCATCATTGGAAGCGGTGGATGCACCACTTCCCTTGTATTTTCTAAAAAATAAATACATATTAATTTTAATTATATGAAAATAATCACACAATATTTTATTATAACCGCATTATGTATCTTATTACAAATTTCTATACTATACATGAAAAAAAAGATAAGATTGCTATTGTATATTTGAATATTAGTGGCGGAGTGGAAGCGCTGTATTGTTAGCATCCAAAAAGCCAGATTCATGCATGTGCTTTACAGAGCACCAACCTCACCTGGTTTAGCTGGTAAAAGTCTAGGACCTTGGGTGAATGCTACACATATACCGCATCCAATTCTATCCAGGACCGGTTCTGGGCTATTAGCCGTCTGCCCGCTAGATATTTGGCCGCCCTCGTTGATTATGTGAATAACGAGTAGATTTATAACTTAATCCAACCGATAAGAATTTACTGATAAGTTTTATGATAATTCTGTATAGTTGACAGGAGTTAAAAAAAATTCCATTAAAATATTTGATATTCTTATTCCGCTCTCCCATTTTATATTACTTACGGATTTCAATGTTAAACCAGTGATATGATTTCGTATATCCCATCTCTAAGGGGATGTAGAAAAAGTGTGTACAATTCTTGTATAATGTTAAAAAATTAACTGTTACTTTGACAGTGTCATTTACAACTAAATTTAGTGAATGAGAGAGATGCACGAGGTACAACAAAATCTCTCGAATTTATTTTCCTTAAATTTACAATTTATGTATCCATTGTCTTTAAAATTTGTCTTTCCACTTTTTTCCCAAGACTACAAATATTCAAGTACAAAGTAACCAGTTTTGACTTATTTCTACTTAAGAAATAGTTAAATAATTAAGAGATTAGGGAATTGGGGACATAAATAAAACCTGCTGAAAGAGCCGGAATATTACTTAAAAGCTTAACCGACCCAATCTCTAGCCGAGTATAGCAGGGACTGATTTCTTCGTAATATTAGACGTAATATAAACAGAAACTTTTCCAGTTCAATGAGAGTGACCGAAAACTTGTAAATTTTGGAAATTTCTGTGGACACCTGGTCCTAAAACAAATTAGTTAGAAAACAAATGATGGACAATCTATTAAGTTTAATATATTTACATTTTTACAGCTAAGATGAAAAATGTTTAAAATTTACAAGAACCCTGTCACGTCCTTTGAGATATATGAGTGATGTGACAAAAGAGGCATTTGACATTAACCGGTATCGGCACCCTTGGGATTTGGCAGCCCACGTGCATGCACGCACCATACACCTAACAGGACCGTCTCTGATTCCACTTGTAGGGAGCTATTTGACTAAGTGGTTAAGATTTAAAGAGTAAAGAAGATTTTATGTTATTTTTATGTATGTTTCTTTACAAAGCTATATTTAATTATAATTTTCTTTAAAAGTATATTCATACAATTGAAGAATATTTTGTACCAGGCATGTAAATCCACCACACAGTTTATTTCACCAAGTAAGTTTTTATAATTTTGTTTTTAATTATAGCCCTTATATCATGGCTAGCGATTCAGAATTTAATTGCAATATTGAAAATTTATTTTAAAAAAGTTTTGGCTCAAGATCATATAATGAAAAAGAAAACATTATTAAAAGTGAAAGGCCAATGCTTAAGTTAAATATAAACACTTCAATAAAAAATTTGTTCGACATTTTCATGATAAAATGGCTCTGTAAATGCATAAAAATGCAAAAATTGTTTTGTTGGCTTTGCCTACTATTTTCAAATGAAATTAGTGTGTGGAATAAGAATAGCTTTGACAATTTAGCTGGAAAAAGACACGAAAAATCGCCGATTCTTTCATATTTGAAGCAATTTGGAAATCAAAGCAGAATAGAATTTAATATTAGTAAATAATATAAAATAAATATTGAAAATTATAACGAGATAGTTACGGCAAATAGATATTTTTAAATTAATAGATGTTATATGTTTTTATCAAAGCAAGAATCGGCATTTAGAAGGCATAGGGAATCTATTGAATCTAATAACAGAGGCAATTATATTGAACTTATTTATTTATTAATTACGTCAGATAAATAATCTATTAAAAATACACTTAAAGATTTAACTGATCGCCCCTGGAAGTCGGCTTCTTACAGAAACACAGCTTCCCTATCATCAAATGTCACGGCATGCAACTGTTATAAATTCATTTTGTATTCATATTAAATTTTCTGTTGTGATTAAATTTAAATTTGTTTTACTGTTTCAGTCATCCTAGAAATGGTTAGATATACTGGTAGATAGTAGTCTTCTTGCAATGCTTATGAAGTTGATTATGATGATGATGATGGTAAATATTAATTTATTTCTATTTTACTATTACTATTATTATCATTAGTATTATTATTTTTTATAATTTTTAAAATAATTTTAAAGCTTATGCTCAATAACTGGAAAATGTTTTAGCTGAAAAATTGGAAATATTATTGAAATTTAAAGGTTAGTAGAAAGTAAGCTCAATACCTAAAATTTGGAAATAAAACTTAAAATGAAAAAAGAATCTGTAAATTCTTTTATGATGATAAAATGTTTCAGTATTAGTATTTTTTTCAGAATAGTTTAATTTACAAAAAGCCCAAAATCATTAATGCAATTAATTACTGATGCTTTTTTTAAAAGCAAAATATAGCATTAATAGAAAATATGTTAGCTCATTATGTTTTTTATAAATTTCATAGTATTATTTCCCGTACAAGAAGTTAAATAATTTAAAAATTTTTACAACTCAATATTAAAAACCCCACCATGATCTTGTTTAAGGACTGAATACTCATTTTATTACCTATAATCAAAATATTTTTGAAATTAATGAAAAATGATATGTTATCAAGTTACATCTTATAATTTATATGTTGAGAAATCAGCAATAATTTATTTTCAGAGAATTTAATAGTAGCAAGTTGATCTATCATTAAGGCAACAAAATCTTGTACTGTTTTTTAGCATTAGTCTGTAAGAATAAGATTTGATAATATGATAGGTATTTTAAAACTTTTTCTTAATTATGATCAAATACATACATAGATTGATATTTCAGCTACATGCTTTTTGCATTACCTTGATGTTTTTTACTTTAAAAATACTTGCAATATTTCCTATTATGAATTTGATAAGAAAGAAAAGGAAATTCTTCAGTATTGGGCTTCTTTGAGATATAGTTAAACAAGTGTGACGTTGCTTGAAAAATAATTTGTTATAGAATCTTTTTTCATTCTTAAGTATGGAAGAAATGAAACAAGATTGAGAGATAATTTTTTATGATTAAGCAATATTTCAATTAAATTCAAATGTGGAAAAAACATGAAGGTGTTTACAATTTTCCTCTTGACACCACAGGAACAACAATGTTATATGATAGAGTTGACCTTCAATTTGAAGCTCTCTTATTTCTTACCAAAAATGTCTAAAAAGTCCTCTGACATTAGGACAATTGTGAAGACCTTTGTTTTTTTCCATGTTAATTTTGTAAGTGAATTTATCATCCAGATTTATTTTTAATAAATGTAATTTTATATTGTATCACCAACAGAGGTTTTTAGACCACTATTTGCATGTAGAGACAGAAGAGAGCCTCAAAATAAAGATAATTCTGCCATGTGACATTGTTAAGATAGTTATGAAGGAATATGGTTATTTTTTCTACATATGAATTTTTAAATAATCCAGGATGATAAATGAATTTATCATCCTGGATTATTTTTAATATGTCAGTTATTTAGGCATGAAAAAAAAAAAAAAACAATGTTTCTAGTTCAAGCTTCTTAATTTAACATAACTGACTTCCTAAAAATTGACTACAGTATATTCTACTGTAGTCAATTTAATTCTAATATTTAGATCAACAATTGTTAACCAGTGCTCTGCAAATCTGCCTTGAAAAAAAGGTTGTTTTATTGCATATTTATTCCAATGTATTACAACATATTACCTTATTCATAGCCAATTCCATATTTCTATTTTATTCAAATTTTAAAGTAAATATTGTAATTAGAACATTTAAAAACAATGTTTTTTAGGCATTTCATTTTCATTATTTTTCTTCTTTTCTCTACAATTGTTTGTTTAAGGTTCATAAATCTTCATCATTCATTCAAAATTCTAGTAGGATATTGTTAAAAATATACAGGATTCAAA